CAGGGTTGGTCAGCAGGAAAATTTAGTGGAAAAGCTTCCCAATGTGGCTGGAGTTGAATGAGTAAGAGTAGTTGGCGATGAGATCAGAGGGGAAATGTGGGAGTCACATTAGAACTACCCTTTCTAGGTCAGTGCAAAGCCTGGAGGATTAACCAGAGCACCGGCATGACTTGATTCTGATTACATTAGGATCACTGTGGCTGCTGTGTTGATGCTAGATTGTAGAAGAGCAAGCTTGAGATAGGGGGTTGGTAGGGATATGAGAGATGGCTGCTTTGGACTATAGTGGATTGGGATATAAAAGAAAAAAGAATGAGTTCAAGCTTTCTGATCTGAGCAGCTGGAAAGATTAAGTTGCCACTAGCAGAACTGAGGAATATAATTTTTAGCAAAGATCAGAAGTTCAGTTCTAAAGCTGGGTGTGGTGGTACAAGTCTTTAATCCCAGCACTTGGGAGGTAGATTCAGGCTGATCTCTGTGAGTTTGAGGCTTGCCCGATCTATATAGTGAGTTCAAGGCCAACCAGGGAAACATAGTGAGACCCTGCCTCAAAATAAAAACAAAAAACAGAAACAAAACAGAAGTTCAATTCTAAATACGATACTGAGAAAAATAATTTTGTTCCCATTAGTTTTCCTTAAATCTCAGTAAAGTGTTATTAGAGATGTAACTAAGTTGGTAGAGGCTTACTAGCATACATGAAACCATGAGTTCAATCTTCAGCACTGCATAAAGTGAGTGTAGTGGTGAGTGCCATAAACCCAGGACTTGGGAAGTAGAGGCAGGAGGATCAGAGGTTTGAGTACATAAGTCTGAGGCCAACCTGGAGTAGTTGAGGTACCATCTTAAAAAACCAACCAACCAACCAACCAACCAACCAACCAACCAGACAGGTTGGGGAGATGGCTCAGTGGTTAAGAACACTGGCTGCTCTTGCAGAAGACCCAGGTAGAGATTAGCATTGCCTTACAAAATAGAACTGTGTAGAAGTTGCTGAGAACCTTTCTTCCTTTTTCTTGTCTCATATATAGAAACTGTTGACATTTATACCACCTTGGTCTTTGCTCTTTTTATGGTCCCAGCAATACTGAATTTTGAGGGTAGGTTGCTATTGAACTTGACATTGTAGACAGGAAAAATAAGAATTTATAAATATCTAAAAAGGAGGGCTGGAGAGATGGCTCAGTGGTTAAGAGCACTGGCTGCTCTTGCAGAGGACCCAGGTTCAGCTCTCAGTGCCCACATAGTGGTTAACAGCTGTCTGTAATTACAGTTTCAGGAATCAGACACCCTCTTCTGACCTCTGTGGGTATGTATATACATGGTACATTTACATACATGCAGGCAAAATACTTATACACATAAAATTTAAAAATAAATGAAATAATTTTCAAAAAGATCTAAAAAGAATGAATTAACAATTCTGTGTATTGAAGCTTTGGATGATCGGATTACTTATCCTTTTTATCACTATGACCAAAATGCCTGTGGTAGACAGCTTAAAGGAGGAAGATTGATTGTTGCTTATGGTTTCAGAGGGTTCAGTTTACCATGGCGGGAGGTGTAGGAAAGCATCTAACATCATGCTGTGCTAGGAAACAGGGGCAGAGACAGGAAAGGGAATAGCCAGTGAAACTTACCTCAAGGACCTACCGCCAGTGACCTATTTCCTCCAGGACCAACCTCCTAAAGTTTCTAGAACCTCCAAAAATAGGACCAATAACTGGGGATCAAGTGTTTCAATTATGAGCTAGTGATGGACATTTTATATTAAAAATTCATAAAATTCTACCCCTGGTTCCCAAAGACTCATGGCCATCTCATAAGTAAAACACATTTATTCTATTTCCAAGAGTCTCTAAAATCATGATGATTCCAACATTATTTCAAAGCCCAAATTAAAGTCTCGGAGACTCAAGGCAAAGTCGTAGCTGTCTGTATATAATAAAAAAGAAAATTATATGCTTTCGATTTAAAAGGCATATTCCCAAAGAGAGGAATGAGAGAATACCAGTGAAAGGTCTGACCCCAAAGAAGACCAATCTCCAGCTGGGTAAACGTTAAGTCATGTAGCTCCATGTCTGTCATCTGGGACATGTGGTCACACCATCAAAGCTCCAGTGGGCTTGGGTAATTCAGTTCTTATACTTTGCTGTTTGCAGCTCCTTGTTACCTGTAGCTCAGATGGCATATCTCTTGGGCTGGCTCCACTCAGTGACTACAGGTCTCCTCAGACATTCATGTTCTTGACATCTCCAACGTCCTGTGGTCTTTATGGCAGCATAGGCTTTACCCTCATGGCTTTATGCATTGCCTTCTCAGGGGCTTCATGTTAGAAATCTGACCCTGATGCACATTGCCTAACCTCTCAGGCCTTCCTTAAAAATTTAGGTGGATGCCTCCATGACCCCAGAACTCTTGTGTTCGGCATACCTACAAAGTGAAAAACCACATGGATGATGCCAAGGGCTTTCACCACCTTAAGCAGTAGCCCAGCGGTATTGAATCATTCACATAGGTGGCTGAACCCAGAAAAACATTTCCCTAGGCTTCTTTGTATAAGCAAAGTGTCCCAATAGCTCTCTCTTCCAAAGGAAAAACCATTCAAAGGAGTTTATATTTTATACAGTGGAACTAGGAGTAGGTGTGTATGGGGGTCTCTCTAATTCTTGAAATGCCCTCAAGGCACCTTTGCTGTTGGCTTCTTTTTGTCTCTCTGTCTCTCTCTGTCTCTGTCTCTGTCTGTCTGTCTGTCTGTCTCTCTCTCTCTCTCTCTCTCTCTTGTCTTTTTGAGCCAGGGTCTCTCTGTAGCCACAGCTGGCCTGGAACTCACCATGTAGATCAGGCTGGCTTTGATTTCACAGAGATCCACCTGCCTCTGCCTCCTGTGCTAGGATTAAAGGTGTGTGCCACCATGCCTGGCTCAATTGTCTGAATTACTTTAACCACTACAACCTTGGCACAGGCTATAGGTTAGTGGTAGAGTGCTTGCCTAGCAGCTAAAGAAACCTTAGTTTCAGCCCCCAGTAGGTACCCCCTTCAAAAAAAATATTTGGGGCTGGAAATGTAGCTTTGTAGCAGAGTACTTGCCTAGGCCCTTGTTCTACTCCCCAGCAGTGCCAGCAAAGGAAAACAAAACAGAACTAGGCACACCCTCCTTGTCAACTTTTTACTTCTTTCTTTTCTCTCTAGATTGCATAATTTTGAAGTCCCCCTCCTTCTGATTTTTCCTTCTGATTCTCAATAAAAACCTGGCTAAAAGCAGGTAACAATAACCATACCACAGCCTGAATGCTATGATACCTTGAAATTTCCTCTTCCAAATTAATTAAGTCTTATTTTGAATACAGCTTCACTCAAATTCTCATTATATGGACAAAACATAGATCCCCACCCCCCATACTGTAAAATGAAAATCCTGTAATCCATTCCTAATAAAGTATTTCCTCCACCTGAAACCTCATGAACACAGTCTTTGCTGTATGACTTTCTGTTGGCATTGTGGTCATCATCAGAATTGACTGTTGAGCTCTGCGTACTGCAGCCCAGAGCTTCCCTAGCCTGCGTCTCCCAATTTCTGACCCACAAAGCAGTTTCAAAGGACCAAGAATTGCATGATCAGGTTCAATCACAGTACTGACCTTTCTTTTTGTTATCAGTTTCCTGGGTTCCACTTGAGTTTATTGTCCCATGATTATGAAGAATGAGGGGTAAGGACAATAGAAGAAGGGCAAGCCAACAAGATTTTATTGAAAAGTAGAGAAATTGTTCCCTGCAGCAAGGGGAGAGCTGGAAAATAGGTTGGGTTGTCAAATGATCATAAATAAAATGCATTTTTCAGGGCCACACACGGACATTGTCTATGAATTGCCTAGGTCCAAGTGCATCTACAATGCAACCTGTATACCTAAGGCTCATAGAACATAGAACAGGGTAAAGAGGACACTAATGAAGCTCTCAGTTCTTGATAACAAAGCTCCCTCATGCAGTGGAGGGCCAGGAACACAAAAGGTCACAAATGGTCAAAGCATGGAGATTAAGAGTCTGCTGAATGCTGGTCCTTGGACAGGACTTCTATATTAAACTTCACCTACCCAAGGCTCAGGGACCATTGTGGAAGAGAGGGTGGAAAGATTGTAAGTGCCAGGGAGGAGATGCATGGCCATTTGGAAACAGAGTCCTACAAGCTCCTGGGAACCTGCTCATATGATTCTATGGCAGTGGTGTCAGCATACACAAGTCCCATGCAAACTCAGGCAGACAAAAACCCAGCATAGAACTGGGAAAATGACAGCAGACCCCAATCTTAGCTGAAAAATATTGGCCACTGATAGCTTCTAGGTGAAGAAGAGCTGATCTTCCTAAAACAAGGGACTCTACATAGGCTGACTAGACCTCAGTGGATGGACTTGCACTGGGAAACCTTTGGGTACGCTGACTTGACACAGTGGGCCAAAATAATTAAGATTGTTTGATATGTTCTGTATAAAATACACAAAAATTCAATAAAACAAGTTAAAAACAACAAAAAATACATTTTTGCTGGACATGGTAGTGTGAGCCTCTAATCCCAGTACTTAGGAGACAGAGGTGGGTGGATCTCTGTGAGACTGAGGCCAGCCTGATAGCGTGTTCCAGGCCAGCTGGGGCTACAGGGAGACCCTGTTTCAAAAAATGCAAAAAAAAAATTGTTTGTATTGTTGCCTGTGTTAGGATTGTTATTTAATGAAAAAAACAAAAAGAGCCTGGTTAATGGATTTTATTGTAATTCATTTTTTTGACAACCTAGCTCTTAAAATTGAATTTCCTTAGTACCTCACTTCTCTCTGGTCTGACTTATGCTGTAAACAGAAGTGTTATAACACAGTACCTGACAGATGTGTGTCTGCCAGATTTGTGTGTGATGTCCTTTTCTGGCAGTCAAGAGAATCATTGTTGCCAGAAGTGTAGTGTGTCACTTGTCTCTTGTCATGACTGTATTTCTTTATTCTTTCTTTTAGGTGATACAGTTAATATTGGAGATGTATCTTATAAGCTGAAAACTCCCAAGAACCCAGAACTTGTCCCACAGAACTACAGTAAGACATGTTTATTTATGCACGAATACATTTAAAATTTTCTTTTCAGGCATTTAAAAATACACACAGGCCATGCTCAGATGCCGAGGAGCTCAGAAGGTGGGCGACTGTGACCAGTGATAGTCATGTATATAGAGATTAGAAATGGATGTGAAAACGTCTCAATGTCAATAGCCTTGGAATGAATTTTTCTGTATGAAATTGTGTGTTTTGACAACGAAGTGGAGATCTTTTTTAAACGTTGGAACCACATTTAATTTTATGTCTTATAGAGTTTATAATGAGTAAAAGATTATATAAGTGTAATAATTCATCTATTTTAATAAAGAGTATGTCCTTGGCTGGATGTTGTGATCTACATCTTTAATCCCAGCACTCGGGAGGCAGAGACAGGCAGATCTCTTGTGAGTTGAAGACTAGCTTGGTTTGCATAGTGAGTTCCAGGACAGCTGGGGCTACAGGGAGACCCTGTCTCAAAAAGAACAACAACAACAACAAAAGTACACACAGAATGTAATTGGTTCATCCTGAATCAAAATTTAAAAATTACTTGATCCGCAGATATCTTACTTTAAATGTCTATTGTAATCATAAAAAAAATAAACACAGAAGATGAAGAGAACAGTATAACCTAGTGTCCTATCATCCAGTTTCGACATTGGTCAGTTTTATGCTGATGTTTCCAATATTTGCTCTTCATCTTTTAATCTGGAGCATTTAACCCTATCCCCAAACATCCTTTTCTTTTACTTCTGGACGGTTAGTAGAAATGTTCATTTTTATTATGTACTATTTCTCTCTTTTAAGAGTTTATTTTGTTTTTTATGTGTATGAGTGGTTTGCCTGCATGTATGTATGTGCATCATGTGTGTATCTGGTGCCTGTGGAAGCCAGAAGAAGGGTCAGATCTCTTGGAACTGTAGTTACAGATGGTTGTGAGCCTCCATGTGGGAACAGGGAACCAAATCTGGGTCCTCTGCAAGAGTAGCCAGTGCTCTTAATCACTGAGCCAACTCTCTAGCCCCTCATGTACCATTTCTTGAGATGAACTTTACATAAGATGTAACAAAATGCATAAATGTTAAGTATTCATTTGGTTAGTTTTAGACATTTTATAAAGCTGTATGAATAGTAGATTACTTTCATCTTCTTTAAATGTTCCCTATACCTCTACTTTTCCTTGCTGGAAATCACTGCCCTCTTTTCTACCATAATAAATTAGCTGTGTTTGTTCTTTAGATTTATGAAAAGATATGATACGGTATGGGTGTGTGTGTGTGTGTCCTGGCTTCTCCCCATTAAGAGAAGGAATCTGAGGTTTATTCATGTTCTTGAACCTATCTATTGTTTAAATTTTTTAAAATTGAGATTTAATTTATATACTATGAAGTCTACTTCTTTAAAGTATACCAGTCAGTGCTTCTAGTGTGTTCTGAGTTGTGCAGCCACCACCACCATCTCACTTTAGAGCATTTCATCATTTCTGAAAAGAAGCCAGGTACCTTGGGGGCCACTCCTCACTTCCCCTCCTCTCACCCCCATCATTTGGTAGTCACTGCTGTACTTCACATTGCTCTGTAGTCACCTGTGCTGGCCATGCCATTGTCAATGAGGTTATATGACCTATGGCCCCTGTATCTGGTCATTTTGCTTAGTGTGATGCTTGATGTTACAGCATATGTTACCACTTCATTGCTTTTTATGACTGAATACTATTCCATTTTGTGGATATTCTGCATTGTTTTACTCATTTTTCTGTTGTTGAATTGTTTCCACTTTTGGTCTATTGTGAATAATGTTGCTATAGAAAATATTGTACAGAAATGAGGAGAGGAATTGGTTGGCCACATAGTAACCCTGTTTAACATTTTGAGGAATTACCAAAATGATTTCCAAAGCAGTTTTACTGTTTTACATTTCCATCAGCAGTGTAGGGTGGTACCTGTTTCTCCATATCCTTGGAACACTTGTTATTGTCCTTTGGTTATTTGAGATACCTGGAATTTAAAGTAAGGCCTCATGCATGATAGACAAGCACTAACCACTGAGATACACACGCAACCGTCTTTACAATTTTAAAAAAGTTTAAGACAGATTCTCATTAAGTGGTCCAGGATGGCTTTGAACTCTCTGTTGCCCAGTCAGCCCTTGAACTTATGGTCCTTCTGCCTCAGCCTTCTGTGTAACTGGGATTACAGGCCTGTGCCCCCAGGCCCCGCCTTTCTTGCTGTAGCTTTCTTCATCCTCATACATGTGAAGTGATATCTTAGGGTTTTGATTGGCATTTCTCTAATGACTCAGCCACTTCTTTGTTCAAAATGATTTCACTTCTTTGATCAAAAAATTTAAAATGACTTTCTATTACCTTGGGAACATTAAGTCAAATACTTTGGAAGGTTGATCCTTAGCTGTTTTGATCTAGTTTTAGCCTTAGTTCATGCTGTACTCTTATTCTCTGTTTTCCAGTCATTGGGTATGAAATCCAACACTTCAAAGCAGTCTTTAAAATTTATTTATTTTTATTTTATGTATATGAGTGTTTTGCCTACATGTATTTCTTTTATGTATGTGAGTGTTTTGCCTACATGTATGTAAGTACACTATCCTAGTTCATTTCTTCATTGCTGTGACAAAATACTCTGACCAATACCAATTTGGGGAGGAAAGGGTTTATTCAGCTTACATCTCCCAGGTCACAGTTCATCGGGAAGCCCAAGGTAGGAACTCAGGGCAAGAATCTGGAGGCAGGAACTGGAGCACAGGCCATGGAGGAATGCTGCTTACTGGCTTGCTCCCCTGGCCCTGCTCAGCCTGCTTTCTTCTGCAACACAGGCCTACCTGCCCATAGGTGGCACGACCCACACTGGGCTGGGCCCTCCCACATCACTAAACAATCAAGTAGATGCCCCATAGACATGGCCACGGGCCAGTCTGATGGAAGCAATTCTCTATTAAGGCTTCCTCAACCCAGGTGTGTCAAGTTGACACTAAAGCTATCCAGCACATATACCTATGTTGTGCAATGCCTAAGAGATCATCAGATCCCCTGGAACTGGAGTTATGGATGGTTGTTAGCCTCTGGCTCTGGGAACTGAACCCAGGTCCTCTGGAAGAGTAGGCAGTGCTCCTAATAGCTCAGCCATCTCTCTAGCCCTCAAGGCAGTATTGTTCAGATCAATGCTTATAACAATGTGTGTGTGTGTGTGTGTGTGTGTGTGTGTGTGTGTGTGTGTGCGTGTATAAAACCTTTGTTCCAATATCCAAAATACTGTTGGTCTGTCTGTTCCCTCTTACCTCTTTGTGCTATTATTGTTATACAAATTAATTATTATACATTTAAAGTCTAGAGTGGGGTGATAGCTCAGTTGGTAAAGTGATTGCCACACAAACATGAGACCCTGATTTAGATTGTCAGAACCCATGTAATAAAGCTGGGCATAGTGGTGCATGTTTGTAATCCAGCACTGTGGAGATGGGGACAGGCAGATCCCTGGAGCTTGAAGGCCAGTCACCCTAGTGAAATTGATGAGTTTCAGGCCAAGTGAGAGACCCTGTCTCAAAAAAAAACAAGGTGCAAGTTTGGGTGTGGTGACGCATGCCTATAATCCCAGCACTTGGGAAACAGAGATAGGCGGATCTCTGTGAGTTCGAGGCCAGCCTGGTCTACATAGCAAGTTCCAGGCCAGCTGGGGCTACAGGCAGACCCTGTTATCAAAAAGACAAAAAAAAAAAAAAAACAAACAAACCAAAAAACAAAAAAACCACAAAACAAAAAAAAAACCCAAGGTGCCTGAGAAATGATACCCAAGGTGGACCTCTGGCTTCCTTCTACATGCGTGCACACACACACACCCAGAGTTTTGTAATCATTGCTTTATAGAGTTGTCTTTGAAGTCAGTAAAGGAAGGCATGGACAAATGTGTGTTTATATTTCCTTTATATTTCCCTGTCTTTTACTATTATCTGTTTCTTTGGGTAAATTTGAGTTGCTGTCTAGTGTGCTTTTTTTTTTTTTTTTTTTTTTTTTTTTGTCTTTTTTAGACAGGTCTCCCTGTAGCTGTGGCCTGGAACTTACTATGTAGACCAGGCTGGCCTTGAACTCACATAGATCCTCCTGCCTCTGCTTGTGTGCTTTTATGGCAGTCTGAATGAAGGATTTACTTAAGTTTTTCGTTTAGGACAGTTCTGCTTTTGGTTTTGTTTGTCTGGAAATGTCCTAATTCTTCTTTGTATTTTGAAGGGTAATTTCATTGGATATAGATTTCTAGGTTTGATAGCTTCTATTGGGATTTTGAATATGTCATCTTGTTTCTGGCCTTCCTGGTTTCTGATGAGGACTTGGTCACTAATTTCATCAAAGATCCTCCTTAGATGATGAGTTACTTGCCACTTTTCCTCTCCTATAAAGATTATTTTTGGCTTTTGATAGTTTCACTTGGATGGTTTTTCCTGCAAAGCTTCATGGCTCAGATGTTATATCTTCATGGTCTCCAGTGTAGGTGTACTGGATGGATAACAGGGCCTTTGAGAGATGGAACCTTGTTTGAGAACACAGGTATTCAGGGATAGAATGTTTGCCTAAGGTACACAAGGCTCTGAGTTCAACCCCCAGCTCTGCAGATGGGGGCAGGCAGGGAGGAAGAAGGCAGAGAGGGAGAGGGAAAAGGAGAAGGAGAGGGAGAGGGAGAGGAAAAAGGAGAATTAGGTCATTGGGGGGAACTTTCCTCAGAAGGAATTAATGCCCATTTTGTGGAGTGGGTTAGTTTCCCTAAGAATGGTTTGTTTAAAATGACTCAGACTTTCCCCTCTTCACTCATGGGCTTCACCACATGATGCCTCAAGTACTTTGTTATAACAATGGAGAATGAACTTAACATAAGGTGTATAAGTGCTAATTTCTGCATTTATCTGATTTAGTTTGTTAAGCTTCTTGAATGTTCAGATTAATGATTTTAATAAAATTCACGAAGCTTTTGATAATTTTTTCCTTCGATATTCTC